GTTTAATAATTCTGTCTAATTTACTTCCAGACATATTTTGCATTTACCCCAAAAGAAATGATAATCATCTTCTTTAGTATTCGGATTACAGACTAAACAGCAGTCATTTTTAAAAATCTGAACGTGTGGTTATTGTACAATGCATTAATTTGAAATGAAAATTTGCAACAGTTTTCTCTACAATGTTTTTAACTTTTCTTATCCAGACCGTTTGCCATTGAATATCTGGAATATTTAAGAACCGTTCCCATCGGTTTACAAGGTTTTTCTGAAAAACATATAAACAATACAGTTATAAATATTTGTTGTATTCATTAAATATGAACATTCACAATAATATTTTTGCAAGTAATTTTGGTCCCATTATAGCTCTGATTTACAGTCTCAAACCATGCGGTATGGCCAATAACACTCATTTCCAGTCAGAAATTCAATTCAATTATAATACCTTAATTGTAATTTCTCAATGATATCATCGGCTTTTAAGAATCTATTACCCTTAAAAATATCACTTATTTTTGATAAAATCTGATTTAACCCAAGATTTAAAGAATAAAGATTTTTTTAATTTAATACAACATGTTTATTCATTCATATTACTTGTTCACTTATAACTTCATAAGCGTCAACAGTGAACTTAAAATATTTCGGTAAAATGTTGGCATTTTTGCATTAATTGTATTATATAAATCATTTATGTTGGTTACTTTTTTGTAAATATTTTTGGAACCTAATTGTTCTATCCTGTGTGTTTTCATTCAATAATCTTTTAAACCAAATAATATGTAATGACATAATCCTTGCTTCTTCTAGGCATGGAATTTTCATTCCTCCATTCTCAATCTCCTCATATAATATACTCCTTTTTATCTTCTCACTACCTTCCCAGATAAAATCAAATATGATTTTCATTACTTTGTTTATTATGTAATGCGGCGTTTCAATTATTTTTGCTAAGTAGATAAATTTCGATAATGCTAATGTATTTAAAATTCAGATTTTACCGCTCATAGTCAAAAGCCACTTTTCCACTGTTCAAGATCATTTTTTGAGCTGTATTACACTTTCATTCCAAATTTTTGAGTGCCAAGTTATTTGTTATACCCAAAGTATACTCCAAGTATTTTGAAAGTCTCTCCATTGAATATTTTCTGGTTGCTCTTTTTTATATTTCCATGTTCCGAGCCATATTGCATTTGTTTTTTGTTTATTTAATTTCAGTTTTGCTATTTTGCAAAACTGATCGACAGTTTGTAGATTTGATCAATGCTGTTATCTGTACTACTGACAAACAATACTGTATTGCTTCCTAACTGGGCTTTTTTTTCTTCATGTCCGTTAGCTTTATTATTTTAGGGAGTCTAATTCCTTTAATATTGTTATTTTTGCTTTGATAATGTAATAATGCAGACAAAGAACATCCTTGTCTTATTCCCCGTTGCATAATACATTTTTCGGACATCCAACCGTTATTAGTTACACTGCATTCGGTATTTGCATACAATGTTTGTATCCAGCTTACAAAAGAGTCAACCGAAATTGTATTGTTTTTAAACTGACATCATAAAACCTCCTGTGACGTACACTATCAAAATGCTTTTTGGAAATCCAAGGAAATCAGGGCACCTTCGGTTTGGTAGAACATGTATGTTCCATTAGGTCTTCAAATAATCTAATATTGTCTTCCCCGAAGCGCCCTTTAATATATCCTTTTTGGTCCGTATCTACTATTAATTTAATTACTCCTTGAACTCTATTAGCGAGACAGAACGCAGCAATCTTCTATCTAGATCTACCTAGATTTCAATCTAGATTTAACTGTGTTATAGGTTTTTTTTTATTATTATTCAAATCGTATCACATTTAAAAAAAATTAAATTAATAACTCCTAATCTCTGTGAATCCGACATCATGTAAAGTTTGGCAAAAGTATAATTTCGCATAATCAGTTGCTAATGTTATTCCAGAAAAAAACTGTAGAATACTAACGTAAGCCCATTACATCACTTCCGGGTGATTTTCGTTTTTCATACAATTTAGCGCCTTGCAACATTCATCTAAAGTCATATCTCTTTCGCAATAAAACACTATTATTTTATCATTTTACAACTATCGGTGTTCTACACACAATGTACACATTATAAATTATATAAATTTCTTATGATGAACAATTAAAATACTAATTAAAATTCAAAATTAAATTGTTGATAAAAGGGTCTCGTTAACGTTTCATACTATCCAAGGCGGTAAATTCAAAATTGGAAAAAGAAATGGAGAAAAAAAGAGTGCAATTTCTGGCCATCTAGAGCTGATCTAGCCATAGAATTAGTACCTCAGCCCCATCCAGTGGAGCTTAGGTGGTCTAGACCATCCGTCTGTAAAAGTCCTCACGGGCCCCCTCTTAATTTTGAATTCCTGGAACCGACACTGACATGAAGATTTATTAGTTCTGGTTTCCTGATCAAGTGCCAATGAAACTGGTTTTTTTTTCTGATTACACTACATCAATAAAGTTAAATCAATTTTATTAAGCCATCACTAACAGCACGGATGTAAATTCAATAAATTCATATTATGAATTAATAATAAAGGATAATAATTCATAATGCATCAATTCATCAAGACTAGAAAAAGCAATCGTAAATTGTCTGTGATGAATTTGCAAACAAATTGCACACCGACCGACCAAATGTGTTTACCAAATTTCCTGTGATTTGATTTTCCTTTTGGATTAATTAATGAAGAAGATTAAAACAATCGTACATAGAAGGGCTCACATCACCCAGTTCTCTTCGACTAACACTGGTTGCCAGTAAAGTATCGTATTGAGTTTAAAATAAACATTTTAACTTAGAAACAACGGACCATCGTATCTTGATGTTCGCTTTCAGGTTTTTAAATCATCTTGACACAGTTTTAAGGTCATGTAACGAAAATAGGCCTACATTAGATTATCTAAAAATGTTATGCCAGTTAAATACACTCTACAGATTGATGCTTTTAAAGTGACCTTATTTTGTTTTATAGTACAAATTCACAAAATGTACAGCATTCATTTTGAAAAGAAGCCCCCTCCCCACCACCCTCTTTACTTTGCAAAAGTAGTCTAGAAAAGAAGCCCATTTAAAGTCCGCATAAAAAAAAAAAAAAAAAAAAGCCAGGGGTTCAATTCGAGGTTGTACGGTATGTACAATTCATATTCATATTTATATACACTAAATATCTTTACACACACATTTTCATCTAACCAGAATTAAATAGCTAAATAGCTGGGGAAAAAAGTATAAACCAGCTCTATTTAAATTGAGATCGTATTAGAATGATAACATGCAGCAACAACAGGCTTGGTCTACTTATGAAAATTCAGAACCTTCTGTTAATTGCTCATATATCAAACTTGGGAGCGTTATACAGCATCATTTAAATTTTTTTTTTTTATCATAATGAAATAGATTATTTTATCGAAAACAAACAACTTAGAACATGTATGAATTTAAATTTTAATGGTACATTGTTATCAGATTTTACAACCAATTTTTAAATGCGTTTGTGAGTGACAGAGTGTACTAGACATGTAAAACAAACTACAGTTATTACAAACAAATTATTATTTATATAGCGCCTTTTCTTTGTAGATACGAAGCGCTTCTTTTCCCTGGTCATAAAAACTTTATGTTAGCTAGACAGTTTTCTTTAAATATCGTTTTAGACAGTTTTTAAGTTTTATTTGGCGAGTAAAATTGTATTTGGTTAATGGTGTATCATTTCCTTATGATCTCTTTTGCAAATTTATCTACTGAGCCCATTGTGCATTATAATGTTATGCCTCAATGTGTTTTCTAGGTGATCTTGTTACAGGTTTTCAGCTTCACTTATTGAAAAGCTGTTCATTGCTATAATCATTTGCTTGAAGTTTCAGTAAACCTTTAAGATCCTGAATGTGTTTTTTGTTACCAGTATATAAAACTTATTTCGGGAATGCACCAGAATTTTTCAGAAAATTTATATAATCCATATAGTTTTTATTTAGGCATGTTGTTCTTATTACTTCATATAACACTAAAATGTACTCCCATACATTTTTTTGCAATTGAATGTTTGTTTGTAGGATCACAATGGAAATATGTTTCTTTGGAACCTTTTTGGGCAATTCCTTGCTTTCAGAGTTTTCAATTGTATTATTCTTTGACACTGATTGCTTTTAAATCAATTTTGTAAAAAGTGGCTACAGGGCATGCCCTAAATATCTGTAAGTAGTTCTTGCTGATCTTATTGTAGCCTCCTTCCGTGACGTAAACAACATTGAAATGAAAAACATCACATCACGAAATATCACTGGCCAAATAAAATGAACTGTTTCTTTGCCCTTCTTTTAAAAAAAATGATAAATAGGGTGGGAAATACTCATCAGAGGCCTAGAATGGCAATATCTTACATCAGACAACAACTTTAGCCTAATTTGTAGGGCATCTGGCAAAAAAATAAAGATAAAATTCACTAGCATTTTTTTTTATTTGTAAAGAAAAAAGCTAAAAAAAAAAGTTTTTTTTGTTTTCCCGCCCCTATTTTTTTCAGTGAGTTAGGGGCGGGTGGACG